ATATATATAAAAGTGGTCATTGCAGATACAATTAAGATGAAGTAAACCAGGAGTAGAATAGGCCCCTAATACAATATGACTGGTGTCCTTATAAAATGGGAAAATTTAGCTGGGCATCATGGTGCGGGCCTATAGTCCCAGCTACTGAGGAGTCTGAAGCAGGAGGATCCCTTTTTCTCAGGGGTTCAAGGCCAGCCTGGGCCACATAGTCAGACCCCATCTCAAAAATAAATAAACTTTAAAATTAAAAAGGAGAAATTCGAACGCAGATACATATGCACCAAGGAAGAAAAACATGTGAAGTTGAAAGCAGAGATGTATAAGCCAAGGAACACCAAAGACGGACCAGATTCTTTTTTACAGATCCCAGAGGGAGCCAACCCTGCAGACATGTTAATTTTGGACATCCAGCCACCAGAGCTGAGAGACAATACATTCCTTCTGTGTAAGCCACACAGTTTGTGGTGCTTCATTATAAGTTTAGTTTGCTAGGGAGAAAACTAAAAGGGTTGCTGTGAGAGCAGATGAAACATTGAATATTATATAATCCATAAGGGGCTCCTCATGTATTACTTTATACTATAAATATTTTTACCTGTAGCTACTTCAATTAAGTTCAGTATTAAAATTCTGTTTTATTCATTATTAAAATTTGAAGGAGAGGGCTAGACAGTGGACACTGGACAGATCTATCTGGATGCTCACCAAGAGGAGGAGGACAATGGAGCTCAAGAGTCTCAGTCCAAGCAGCTGGCCCATCCCCACCGCTCTCAGGCCCACGTGTCCCTGCTGTCAACCCGGAACCCTGCCATCAGTCAGTCAGCTTTCTCTCCGAGCAAGAATAACCTTGAGGTTCGTTCTGAACTTGTATTCCCTTGGGAAACGGTTTAACCTCCAGAGAGACTCGGAAAGAGCAGCAGGAACTATCAGAGCAGCCAAATGAAATAATTCCTGTCTGTTGCTTATTAATTTTTCAAAAATATGAATAAAATATTTCACACGAGGTGTTCTGACGTTGGTGTTTGGTCCTTACCTTCCCAGAATAGTTTGCCTTATACAGGACATTTTTAAGGCAGAACTCTGTCTTCTAACCACTGCCCTGGAATCCACAGTGCACTGTTGTCAGGCACTTACAGAAGGGCACAAATAAAAACCAAGGGTTTCTTGGGAGGACTTGCTCATTTGGTAAACATTTATTAAGTACTTACAGTGTGAAAGATAGGGTCCTGGGCAATGTGGAGGAACTATAGAGATGAAGTAAACAAAGTCCCTGTCTTCAAGGAACTTCTGATTAAGTCGAGGTCACACACACACACACACACACACACACACACACACACACACCCCTTTTAATGATAAGAGGAAAATGTAAGCAGGTCTTCGGTTTAGAGAGGATCAAATTGCCACAGGAATTAGAGGGAGGTAGGAACTACCCAAACCTGGGGGAAACAGGGAGAATCAAATGTGTTTTCCTGAAAAAAAAAAATGCATTTTGAACAAACAAAAGGTGAAGAGAAAGAGTTTATTCAGAAATGCATTGTGCTAACGCATGCTACTATACACTCTTTGTCAGAGGCAGAAACACAAAGAAAAGGTGGTGTTTCTACCTCATCAGCAGTGTCAGGACCTAACAGGCACACTTTGGTGCCCTGGGCTGGAAAGTTCTTTCAGAGGCTGCAGAATTCAGAGCCTCCCAGGTGAAGAGCCACCTTTGCAGCCTGGAATTTTGCCCAACACATCCATGCTGCCCAAATGTGGCCTTGTTCAGCGCCTTTACATGTTTTTGTTTCACCTGGTGCTGCCTCTGAAGCACTTTGAAAGCCGTTGGTCACTTGTTAAATGCACATCATATGCATTCTTGGAAGCTCCCAGTCTGGAAAATCACGTAATTAAGGTGTGAGGATTTATGGATAAAAGAATAGGGTTAAGGATGACCACTCAACACCTGTGTGACTTTATAATTGGCCTACCAACACAAACAGTAATTGGTATCTTGGAAACCAAGGCAGGCAGCTCAGTAGGACCAGAAGCTGCTTCAGAAAATATTAAAAATGCACAAAAAAATAATAAGATGGACACTCAGACTTTGGCTGCTGGGAGCCAGTGGGGTTGCTGTGAAGATGGGCATAGGTAAGTGCAACCTGGGACATGCAAGGCTGGGATGTGCTTCTCTGAAGAGGGAGCCCCAAGTGCAGACATTCATTTAAAATTAAAGGGGAAAAAAATCAAACTGGAAGCCATGCTGAGGCTTTCCCACTGAAGTTGTTACTCATCTCTGCTATTTTAGCTCTCCTTGCCTTGGGAAAAAAAAAAACACATGAGAACCAGCACAATTTCCATGTTACACTGTCATTGTTCCCCTATCTTGCAATTACAAATGAGCTAAATGGTGCTTTATGAACACATATTACAGCAGACATCAAGGAATAATCTAGAATCCTAACTCTGTAAGGACTGAATTTCAGAGGTCCAGACAAAAGCCAACTCTTCCTGGGTATGTTCTGCATACCAATGCTCTGTGTACGGTGTCTTGTTTAATCTTTTCAAAAAACCTAGTAGGTAAGTACTAATACCATTACCTTTATTATTTATTTATTTCTGTTGTTCCTTCTTTATTGGTGCATTATAATTAAACATAATACTGGAATATGTTATTATGTGTTTGTGTATGCATACAATATAACAATATAATTTGGGTTTTATGTTCGAGGAAACTGAGGCTTATGATAAGTAATAGATGAAGCTCTCACAACTATGGTTGAGTTAGATTTCAAGCCCAGAGAGTCTGGCATAAGAGCTTGCACTTTAGCTATGTGCCATAAGTCTAGAAAAAGTCCCAGGTGGCAGGCAGCCACATGTTTAGAAGGCTCCCTTTATCCCCACCCCTGCATATCTCCTTTACCTGCATTCCTGAAAACAAGGGCTTTGGGGATCTGCTGCATAGCATATAGAGCCCTCAGTCTGGAAAACACAAATGTTTTTTTGTTCTATTCAAATATTAACAGTTTCTATGCTCTCGAG